AGATGAAACAAGTCTATGAAAAAATGGTCAAAAAAAGAGGATTGAGAAGAACAGGTTTGAAAATTTATTACATGCTCAATGTCTGCTCCTGAGGGATACAGTTTCGTTTTTTCTCCACTCTCAATGTTTCACCAAGATGAAGTCAGGGCAGGCAAAAAAAGGACTTGATGGAAAACAAAACTTACTGTTTCCCTCTGGAGTAGACTTGAAGTGTTTTTTCATTCTTACAGCAAACCAACATAACATAGTAAACATTTAACCAAAAAATGAGTGTTACTTTAATTTGTTAACGACAGTGCAACTTTGTTTCTTGTAAACACTGCAGATGTACTTTTAAAGAACTGTATTTTCAGAGGCCTTCTGCTCCATCACTTTTTTTAATCGCTGGCTGCTTCCATTGTGTTTTAAGAACTAGTGGAGACTAGCAACAAACTAATGTTGTCTGGATTTGCTGAGAAGTTCAGAGAAGAGAGCTTTAAAAATATTCCGCAAGAATCAGTTCATCAACCTAAGCCACATTCTTATCATGTGCAAAATCTGGACATTGGTTGCATTCATTAAATGTAATATGCTCAGGATACAACTTTTGATATCCTGTCAAAATTGTATATTAAATGGTATACATCTTAAATTTATGTGGGGTCATGTGATTGCTAATCAGCCAATCCAAATAATTATTGTCTTTAGAACAAGGGAAATTGCAGAACCCAGCGTTTAACTTACAATTATTTTATAGTTTTTTTTTTCCTTTCTTCTGAAGCCAGTCAGTTGGTCGGAATCTTAAAGTCGTGAATCTTATGGGCTAAATATGCAATAATCTTCAAGAAGATTCACTGCTCTTTTAGGCAGATTATTTACTAATGTATTGAGTAATTCTAGTTCTTTGTTATCTTTCCTCTTTTTTTAACTCAGCAAAGGAATACGTCTTGGAAAAACAGACAGAGCCAGGAGTTCCCATAAGTCTTGACGCAACTCTAGAAAGCATGGGAACAATGGAATTCTGTCTGGTCAGATTTGGCCGTAAGTAGATTTTTATTAGCTGACTTTTGTTTAATTTATAAGTATTGCAAGTTCACAGTTAGCTTTTTTTAAAATCTATTTTGGCATTACTGGTAGTTCTTGAAATCTGATTGTCTCACAACAGTGCAATCTGTATGCAATTGTACTTCTTTCACCCAGAATTGCATCTTTAAGCATTTAAATTTTACCGTTTAACTCCCAAGATCTGAATGTTAATTTTCCCTTCATGCTGCTACACATTTCACCAAGTTGTAAATTAGTTGGAATAATTTGATGTTAGATTGAGATAGTAACCTCTACCTGATGAGTTTGGGTATTCTCATTACCTGTTTGCTGGTGAATATATGGATATTTTAGGGAGAAGTTGCATGTTAATCACTTCTGGGGGTTCAAGGATTAATGTACTTTAAAACAAACTGGCAGATTGGATTAAAAAGACAAATTAATGGCACTTGCCATAATCCTATTTTTGACTGTGTGATTTTAAAACAAATGTGGTAAAGTCACATTTAAACTTTGTGTAAAACAACTTGGTCCAAAATTTAAAAAAATAGGATTGTGTTGATTGCAGAAGCAATTCAGCTTTTTGGTTGATGTTGCAGGAAAACGAAATCATGGGGAAGAAAAGGAAGAACCCAATAAACAGTTTCAAGTTTATACATATTATACATACAGGGTAAGTGTTATACAAAATTATTCACATTTGTTGCTTATCGTTGGCTTATTATTGGTTAACTTGAAGCTCCAATATCTCCACCCCCCTGGAAACTTACAGGCATTTGTCTGTTGTTCCTGGCAGGGGGGGGGGGGATTTGAATCTTGCCAGGGTGGGGTTGGGAATTTAAACTAGTAGAATACACAAGGAATTTAAAAGTGAGACATCCACTAGCTTGCATGAGTACATGGCACAAAAATTGTTCACATTGTAAATTGACCTCCTTTAAAACTATATTTCTATGGAAAATACCCAGAGTCCATATTTTGTACAGATATTTTGATGACTTTTGTGACAGAAAAAAAATTATTATTTAAATCCTCAGTCATACAGAGTCAGTATGCTGCAGAAGCTAAGGACTGTGACAGAGATACAACTGGGTGAGTTATTCACAGATATTCAGTATGTTGCCTTTTTATCATTGATTTTCACCTAATAAATATTATTATTATTATTATTATAATTATACATTAGACTTACTATAAAAACTGAGATTGGTCAAGAGCATCCAATTAATATTCAATAACCTGTGAAGTTGACCAGACAAATGCAATATCTGCAGCTGATTTTGCATTTATCATGTCAAGTTTAAAGTCTGCCTAGTTTCCAAGCCCCTCCTCCTTGAAGTGTT